GTACTCCCCTGGCCAGCAAACTCACCGGATTTAAACCCAATCGAGAATCTGTGGAACCACCTCAATCGGGTTGTTCGCGCCATGGATCCTCAACCGCGTAATCTAGCGCAGCTGGCCATGGCACTGGAGTCGGCATGGCTCAACATCCCAGTGAACACTTTCAGAAACCTAACTGACTCTCTTCCTGCACGTGTCGTAGCGGTTCGCTCTGCCAAAGGTGGTTATTCTGGATTTTGACAGGTGGTCACATTAATGTGACTGGACTGTGTATATTAATTAAATTATTCTTAAATATTATCAGAAATAAATTTTAAAAAAATTTGCTCCAATTCGAATGAAGCCATTAGTAACCAAACTCAGTCCCTCAGAAATATTACATCAGCATAAAATTAACTGTAATTACAGCTTTTCCCTGAAATAAATTATACGAGAAGTTGAAAGCAAATGTGTTGGAGCACATGGCGGCTTACAAAACAATTTTCGATCGTCACTTTTCATATTTAGTCGCCTTGGGGACAGAGGCTACCGATTTTGCCCTATTGTTGGTGCAGACCATCAGAAATGTATGCTTTAAATGCTATTGTATTTGAAGCATACATTTGTTATGTAATAATGCAATAGAATATGTGTAGTAATATTCCATTCTACTAAATGAAAAATTATTTAAAAAACTATTTTATAATTACTTCAAAAGATCAAATTTTGTTTTTATTCAAAATGTAACACCATGAAAGGGTGTTACTAATAAATTGAACCTTAACAACAAGTTTAAATCAAAAATATTTATCATTTGCATTTCAATTATTTTAATAAGTTCAAAATGTTAATTTAGCAAAGTATTTTTTTTTTTTCAAAAAAAAAGTGATGCTACAAATCCGCAGTGCAGGAAATAATACCCAACCTTAACTTCTAAAAGAAAAAAAAATGTAATATTGTACATTTTATTTACTTAAACGTTAATAATATGAAAACAAAAACAGTCTCATGTAATATATCAGTACAATTTCAAATTTGCAAATCTTATGGAAGTACTCGAATGGAATATCTCGACTCAAACATGATTATGACTACTTGACTACATACATGACTTCGTCGGCTACAGCTAGTGCAATGTGTCAAATATGTTGTATTAACTAGTATATGAGAGTCATGCTTTTATTTCAAAGCATAATATTCGTAAAATTTTTAAACAATGTATTTTTATTCTTAGTTTTTCCAATTAAAGTCCAAAATGGCAATGCAATGTTTCCACTGCATCTCAGTTCTTTAAAATTCGGTTTCCTTTAGAGCGTCTCTTGGCATAATAGCCAATGTGTCTTTCGGCTTAGTAACCGATCTGGTGAGCATGGTGGTTAACCTGTTTACCATGATGTTTCTTTCACAAAAAGCACCCCTTAAATGATCATTATGAGTCTTTTCAAAATCACTTACTTGTGAGAAATTTAACAAATGCTAGAGTAAGAAAGAAGTAGTTGGAAGTAAGAGAAATATCAGAACTACATTAGTTTTGATTATATCATATTTCTGTTTTTTTTTTTTTTTCAAATGGCAGGCACTGAACATTATTCTTCGCCTTAGAAGATGCCGGAATTGTTACTCATCTCACGTTACCCAGTGGGCACCGTCCCGCAGTGGACTGATCGTTAAGACACGGTTCCCAGCAGATCACCGAAGTCAAGCATCACTGGCTGCGGTCAGTGTGCGGGTGGGTGACCACTTGGATCAGCCAGCGTAGGGACCGAGGATGTGCGGTATTGGTCCTCGTTATACTGTTCTACCGTAAAGTGCTCGACTTCGCGTGCAGGTTGTCGGGCTACCGAAGCGGGGGTGCCATCCCCTCCGCAGAGGATCAAAATTGTGATGGCATGTCCAAGGATCATCCTCAAGGATGTTTCCCAGACCGTCACCAATAGCCCATTGTGCAGCTCTAGTGCGACGTAAATGAGCAACAACAACAACAACCCAGTGGGCACCTGTGAACCAAAGTCACGGAGGCGAGCAACATTACCCACGCCACTCTGCCACAAACCCGTTTATAGGGTGGGCCACATTCACGCATCACACACAACAGTGGACAACACGTAGAGAGAAATATCCATGCCCAGAGCGGGATTTGAACCCGCAGCCAATGGCTTCGCAGTCAGGCGCGCTAGCCGCTCGGCCACCTGGCCGGCATCATCTTTCTGTTCATACTTGTATAAAATATTAGTTTGACGGTTAAACAATTAAATAGAAATTTAATTCCGAACAATTTAATTTCAAAGTTGTAATGCCAATGCTTAAAATGTCATTTTTGAGCAAGTTTAAACTAAATTGACTTGAACTTGTTTTTCTTATTATAGAGATATGTCGTTGTGCATGAAGTCGGACATGCACTAGGACTCAATCATGAGCAGTCAAGACTGGACAGAGATCGCCATGTTCGAGTATTATGGCGAAATATAGCATTAGGAGGTCGCCCTCAGTTTTGGCGTGGTCTGGACAATCCTCATGGCGTGGAATATGATTTAACATCAATCATGCATTACCATGCTCAGGTAAGGAATTCTATGTTAATATATGGTCGTTCATTCTCAACACCAACGTTATTCATTATCTGTTTTTCAACTATTTTTATACAGGGAGTTCTGTAATGACTATCCTTAATATACGAATTTCAAATCCTTGTCAAAAAAAAAAAAAAAAAAAAAAAAAAAAAANAAAAAAAAAATTAAAAAAAAAAAAAAAAAAAACATAATGCGTGGAGTCCCTCCGCGCGGAAGAAGTTAAACTTCGCAACCTGCGACGATAATAGTAGAAGAATCAGCAGTCGTAGAAGGATCACTAGTTCTATTCAACGACTCTTTTTCCTGCTCCACTCGCTTCCGTGCTCTGTAATCACGGTAATATTGTGCATTTTCCCCTCGTGGACCTCTTGAAAAAGTGGAAGTGCTTGTGGTTACCTCGTCGTCTCTGGAAAATGTATTTGCATTAATATTTAAATGTATTTGTATATGTGAATGCGTCATAATGTAATTTCAGAAGAGAAAACCAAACAATCAATTGATATTCACTAGAGACGCACCTTGACATAACCTTAAATCCGTCGCATTGTCCGTGGGATTGTTTTCACTCATTTTTTACAATTGTTATCCACTAAATTTGAAAACAAAAAATACTACCCTATTAAATTATATGTGTATCAAAACAAACTAAAAAAATATTTATAGAAAAACAATACTTTAATTATTTTTATGCTAGTGAGAACCAAAACAATATGAAATGAATGAGGGAAAATTGGATCCTACCACGTGATTTCCCGGCCAACAAAAATGTAGCGTTAAACGTTTAACGCAACCTTGTTGGAAGTCGCATAAGAAGTATAACTTCGAAAAAGAATAAATAAGTTTATTTATTTTGGGTTTGGAATTAATATTTAAACGGGTAAAAAGCAAAAATGCCGTCAGTATTGAAGTACTTTGTTCAACTAAATAAGATTCTTTTCACAGCACTTAAATATTTACTTTATTTTCTTCACATATAGAGGGAACAATCGGCAAAGAACTCTGTTAGGTTATAAAACATTTCTCGAAAAAAGAACGAATTCCGAAAGAAGTAAAAATAAACTACTTAAAAAATAAAAATGCTGTTGCCAGCCATAGAATTTTTTGAAAGTTAACTTAGCAACATAAATCAAAATGACATACAACTGCAACTAGATCAAAATTATGATACCTGAGCGCTTGACGTAACAAGTATCTTTACAAATCTGAAAATGGCGATGAATAACGTTAGCAGTTTAGTTTCTCGATGATAATCGGAGGTCTTTATAATTATTAACTTCCATGTCCCCATCAGCAATCAAACAGATTTCGACGTTCTCAGTCTCACTTTCCCCAGCAGTGCTTCATTAGATTTCGGTATGGTTTTTATTTTATTTTTTTAGTATAAATATTGATCTTCAACCTTTAATATGTATACTTTTTACATTTCCTCTTTGATAATATTTTTTAAAATATGAATTGAGGGAGGTAATCGCGGAACAGCTATATGTATAATGTACAATCTATAATATATATGTAATCTCATGTAAACTACTAATGTATACATGTAATCTTTACACAATTTTTAATTCACAGGCTTTCAGCAGCCGCATGTTCGAAAGAAACACAGTCGTCAGTCGCAATCCTCATTATCAAAGATTAGTTGGCATGAAAAGAAATGACGTAAGCTTTAGAGATGCCAAAATTATCAATTCGATGTACAGATGCGATTGTGAGTATCTGAAGAAGTATTTTTTATTTGTTGCATTAATCTATAGCCTGGTGTTATATTTCTTGGTTTGAACTTCTAAAAAAAAAAGTTGTATTAATTTAGTTTTAAAATATAAGTTTGATGAAGATACCGATTGATGTGTTTGTAGCAAAATGCCCGAATCGGGGACAAAGATGTGAAAATGGTGGTTATCTTGGTCCATACAGAGAAGGTGAGGGTGGACCATGTCCCTGTGTCTGTCCTCCTCACACGTCAGGGGAACTATGTGAATACATTGTAAAACCATACTATGGTGAGTTCTTTTTTTTTTTTCAAAACTCTTTAACTATCCCATATGAAATAAATTAATGTCTATCATTTTTGTAGAGGATCCACCCTGTGGAGGAAATATAACAGATGAAACAATAATTGAAACTCCTGGTTTTCCCGAAAGAAAAGAACCTGAAATGAGTTGCAGTTGGATTATAACAGTAAGTCACACCAGCTCATCTTGATGTCCTGGAATCTTGTTTTATTCATATGAATGCTGATTCCCTTGTTAACGATATTAGTGTCTCACAACCTCTCCATAGCGCGTGGTAATGAATTTTCCCTGATTTGCTCCTGCCAGCCGCTGTTGCTCTTCTTGTTCAGTTTTTCTCTTTTTTTTTCTCTCGGCAATGGTGATTTTTCTAGTTTTGTTTCTCACTTTTATTTTTCCCTTTTTCGTTGGCAACTTTACGCTCTATATTCTATATACGTACTTTTTCTTATCATTCATATCTCACAAGTTTTGAAAATGGGCGCCTATTTTTTGAACGCCTGAAGCAGGCCAACTGTTATTTCCTAATTGTATATTTTTGGAGCGACCGAAGTTTTTTTTTATATCAGATAGTCACCCATTCCAAGCTCATTGGCAACACTAGCAGCATTCGTGACAACTAATTCGTTCGGTTACTGTTTGGACGAAAATTCAAATGGCACTTTTGTTCATTTTTTTTTCCTCCATCTTAAATGCATAATTCCAAGAAACTAAAGGGAAAGATATACTTGACAATATGAAAACTTAATTTGCTTCAATATTCGACATGCTCAGAGCTCTCAAAAACAGGCACCCGTTGTCATGACTTACCAGACCTGAATGAGGAAAACAATAGAAGTTTGTAACAGCGAAACGAAAAAAAAAGCCACAGAAAAAAAAATGACTTTGTTTTTCACACTTTATATTTTTCTCATAAATTCATTTTCTCATTCTCTGCTTACTTTTGAGAGCCCGAAACATGTCAACTTTTATCACCTTTATATTTTTCGAAACAAATGAAATTTTCATAGTATGAAATCCAAGCTCGCACATTAAGTTATTTTATACAGGTATTTCGCAATCGTCGTGTCTTAAATATATATGTTTAAAATATTTTTAAAAATGTACTCAAAAAAGAATATACAATAGGAATCGCAAATTAATATTTAAACTATGGAAAATAAAAATAAAAACGCTAACCAAATCTATCCAATTGCTAGAAAGGAAGGGGAGATGAAAAACATTAAAATTAGTTTGATTACCTGGTGAAACCTGGAAATGTTTTCAAGCCTTTGTAGGAACAGTTTTTTCTAGTAATGTTAAGTTCAAATCGTGTAGAGATAGAGATTGATTCATATACAGAAATTCATTTAGCTTATTAACGAAAATTAATCTGATTTTTAAGACCATTTCTTTTTGGTAGGAAGGTAATAGGATCTCAAAAATTTTAAATAAGAAATCAGACGTAAACTTGAACTTCAGAACTCAAAAATAAATGAATTCATAAATTGTGTGTTTATAACTTCAAATAAACTAGATGAAAAATTATTAAATGAACTAATACACTATTCACAGCTCCCCAGTGTCAGCCTCCCTTCTCGACCTCATGCGAACCTTTATTTAAACAAATCCCTTTATTTGTACCATGATTACTTTGTATGCTTCCCACGACCTTATAAATTTTTCATAACCCCTTTAAAAACCATTTCTATTTTCTCTGGCAATCAAACTTGTTTTGATTCTTTTTTCGTTACTTCACTTTCCTCAGTAGCGATTTGTTAGGTTTTCACAGCAATTTGGATTGTCAGCCCGTAGACCAGGGATGGGCAAACTACGGCCCGCGAGCCAACTGTGGCCCACCGGAAGGTTTTATTCGGCCCACGGATGGAATTTTAACTTGCCGATCAAGGGCAAATATAAAAAAATATGCATCTATTTTCTTGTCGACTTTGTTTGAAGCTATTTATGTTCTTTCTTTTTTTTAACAAAGTACTGATGACCTTTTTACTTTCTCTATTTTTGTTCTACAAAACATAAATTGATGGAAATAGCACAGAGAGCTTCAATTGGTAAAATATTGAAGTTCTTTATAGAATAGCTGTAGATTGGCTCCAACTAGCGTTTGTCTTTCTCGAGGAGCAAATTTATGGAATCTAATATAGGTGAATTATGCTTCACATGTGGCAGACTGCGCATTTTAAGCTCCACCGAGAGGACAATCTAGCAATCATGTGATGCAGTTGTTTCTAACTATGCCAATGTTTGAGTTTTACAAATCATTACCAAAAGCTAGTATCCAAAATCTTAATATTTCATGCCCAGAAAATCAGTGCTGTGTTTGCTTAATCTTATATATATGTGAACAAGAGCTTTCAACTAAACATTTTAAAAAATCATTTAAACAATCGTCATTAAAACATTTTGAAGAATCATTTTAGAAGTAGACTAACAGACAAGCATTTAGCCCCGTTTCTTAAAGTAAGCACATCTCACTTTGAACCTCATATAAGGAACTTTTTAAAATGAAATCGAAATTTCATTCATCTCACTAAATATTTGAATTAAAACTTAAATATCGCTTTTTTTTAAATTTAAATTTTGAAGTTTTTACTTGGCTCACCAAGCAATTTTTTTCTCAATTTTTGGCCCCCGACCAAAAAAGTTTACCCATCCCTGCCGTAGACAGTGGCCTCTCATGCGCATATTGTTTTAATTCATTTTCTGCTAGAATTTTCAGAAATAAATAACACACATTAACGTTGGAAATATATTTTGACAACAAAGGGAACTAAAAAATGAATGTAAAAAAATAAGTAAATAAAAATAAAAAAAGCAACTTTAAGTAAATATAAATTTCACATTTTATTTTAGGCACCGAGACGGAAAGAAGTCGAAGTAGAGTTTGAAGAATTCAGCTTCAGGGAGAGATTGCAACAAGAATCTAGTTCGTTTTATGGGCGTTGCGTTAACGAAAGAGTTGAAATAAGAAATACTGATTATTATACTGGAACATTGTAAGTAATTCAATCACTCTATCTACATTTTTATTCCTTTTTTTTAAAAAAATTTAGATATTTTAGAAATTAAACGATTAATTTTAAATATGACCATTTAAAATTAGTGTCGTTTTTCGAAAATAAACTTTTTTTTCCAATTTATTATTGGTACATACAACAGCTAATTTGAAACCTTTATCCTAACTTGCTTTGCAGAAATAATTAATTAATATTTATTATTAAAAAAATAGGTAAAAGATACTTTTAAAACTACTACCTTTTAACAAAAATAGCGATTTATTTCACTATCTATATATATATTTCTCTTACACGGCACCAAAAAAAAGCCTCATTACAACTCCCCGAATGGCAACGTTAGAAAATCGACCAATGATTGCTGCTAAAAATGTCACATGGCAAATGTCACATGAGGTGGCTCAACATATAGCGCTTTTAAAAACGGAAACAATAACCAGAGTGAGCATTATCAGGTTGTTCAATTCAGATTCATGCCCTAAAAACATGATAATATTTAATTTAAACTCAATTAGGAATTAATTAGGCTGGCCTTCTCCATGACTATAAATAAGTCACAAGGTCAGACTTTTGAGAAAGTCTATAAATAAGTCACAAGTTTTTAGTCATGGACAACTTCATGTTGGCCTGTCAGGAGTTAAGTCATTTGACAGCCTTTCAGTAATTGCTCCAAGATGCCAAATCTATAATTGTGTTTTCAAAGAAATTCTAAATGCTTAGTGTTAATTTCTTAGAGCTTTTCAGAAAAAAATGATTTTTGGAAAAAATTTAATTGAAACTTCTATTGGCAGTAGGTAAGGGGAACTGCCAAAATTAAAACTCCCCGATTAGAAATGCAGCATGGCGACCTCCACGT